CTGGGCAATATGCTCTAGAGGACCCTGCTTGAGCAGGGGGGTTGGACTAGATGATCTCCAGAGGTCCCTTCCAACCTCAACCATTCTGTGATTCTGTGATTAGGAGCAGAAGAAAACTGAGGATCGAAACAAACATTGTGTAGTAAAATTTTCTATTGAAAACAGCAGAACTGTTTGGCTGCTTGTTTTTTTTTTTTTCTTTAAGATTATCCTTGAAGTTAGTTGGTTCAATCTGTTTTTTTATTTTTTGTTTGTTTGTTTGTTTTACAAGTTTGGATCTAAAAAGTTAAAATAGGATTTTTCAAGGGAAAAAATTGAAGCCACCGAAGCTTGGAAAGCAGAGTGGAAATTACTCCCAAAACTGAGAGACTAAATTTGGTTACTGACTGGCATGAGCTAACAAGGAATTAATCTTCTATCTGTAGACCAGTATTGTCTAATAAACTTGCTGGATGTAATACATGACAGGAAGATGGCTCATTTGTTCTGTTTATTGCAGGGTTTTATTATGTTGTTAGGAGTATGCAAGACTTCTCACTGAAGTCCATGTGAAGCTTTTGTGTGGAAGCTAATAGTATGATATGGCCTTTTTTCATCCTTCAGATGGAAATATCTCAGCAGAATGCTTTCCTTGCTAGGTGTAGTCCATTGAACTGAGATTGCAGGATTATGCATACAATCAAACTTCCACTGTAAAGTCGTAGCAAAAGATGTAATGTAACGTATATATTTTACTTTGCAGGTTTCCCCACTGTTGTTTGTGGGTTGTTTTTTTGTTCTTTGTTTTTTTGTTTTTTGAAATGGTAGGGCTAGGAAACAGCTGCCGAGGGATGAAGTCTCCACCTCTTCTCATAGCTGCACTCGTGGCATGCATCATTGTTTTGGGCTTCAATTACTGGACTGCAAGTTCTCGCAGTGTGGATTTGCAGGTAATGTTCCTATTGCTCTGCATGTGGTTTTGTACTTGTGTTGTTAATGAACATAGTTTGCAACAAGAAGAATGTTTCCCCCTGCATGTGGTGAGCTAGAAACTTTGGTATGTCATAGGAATTTGCACAACTATTACGGTTGTTGCTTATCAGTAGAGAGAGATGGAGGAGAATGGGAGCAGTGCCTGTGTGTAAGGGGTGGGGGGAACCCAAAACCTGAAGATCTGTATGATGCAAATCAGCACTTCATTTTTAATCTGAATGGGCCTCTGCAGTTTGCTCATATCCCTAAATTTTTTTCTTATATGACCCATTCTGGTGACCGCTGTTGCTCAGTATAGAGTAAGATCAACTTCTTTCAATATATGTTGGGCAAATAAGGATGCAAGGCAACTTCATGTATTCACCCACCAAGTATGAGGGAATCAGCTGATTCAGAGAGTGTCTAACAATCTGAATTTGTATTTCTTAGGAACCTTTCCTAAGGAAAGCACACAAAACTCATGTGTAATAATTACTCTGCCTGCTATGTTGTTGTAGCTGTTAGTAGCTATGTCAAGACCACTGAAGCTTTTCTGTACAATCATGGTGCAGCTGATAGTGAGGAAAAATTGGTAGCATACTAGCTTATTCTTGATCTCAGTAACCTAGATACTAGGACCTAGATAAGGTCCCATTCAGCATTATTGTTTAACAGTATTATGTTGTACATTTTCCCCAAAGTAAGCTTGAAAATCCTTTCATGTCTATGTAATCATGCACTCTGAATAAAAGCATAGCCCAAGATATGAGTGGAGCTTCTGAAGCACTATTAACCCATTCATTTGTTGGCAGGACTTTGCTGCTATAATGACTAAAATAGAATAAGTGCTCTTCTGTGTTCTTTCAGCTCAACTGCAAGCATTTTTCCTTCCCTTCCCCCTATCCATTTTTTTGCTCTCTGTGGCAATGCTATGGAGTAGACAGGCAGTAATATGCAGCATACTATGGTGTAACAAGAGTTGACCCATTTTCTCAGAGTCTTGGCTGATGCCATAGGTTTTTATTATATCCAGTTTTTAATCTATCGGGACTCCCCAGGTTTTTCTACCTGGGTAAATTCTGGTGAGATTTTTTTTTCCCTAGTTGTCTTTGTTTCTAATCATTTTGAGTTAGGAGAAGGATGTTGACAGCTCTTGGGCATCAAGGAAGAGAACAATGTCCTGCAAAAATTAAATCGATACTTTAAAAAAAAAAAAGCCTCGACAAGATCAGACTTGATGCCTTTACATGCATGCATGTGTGTGATGGTGTTGAATTTTCTTTTGATTGTCACTGCTTTTTGAGCAATCAAGAGGAGGGAGAATTTCCCACTTATGAGTTCTTCTCATATGTATCTTTGTGTAACAAGTATGTGCAATTGTTTGCATAAGAGTTGAGCAGAGTTGTCCTTTCGGAACTCCTCCTCAGGTCTTACTGGAAAACCTATTGATGATTTGAGAGATGAGTTTTCTCTCTGAGTTAGTTTAGGATCAACACTAGAGAGTGCAGTGATATCAGAATTGTTTGGATGGGATTTAGACATGTTTTGACTTTGTACTGCTTTTTGGGAAAACAGAAGGTTTTTTGTTTGCTTTTTGTTTGCTTTTTGTTTGTATTTTAGCTGAAGTATTTAGGCTGCTTTGCATTTCTCTTAAAATCTTTAACTGAAATTTTGATGATCTGTATAGTATATGACCTGTTGGTTATTTATCTAAGACTGTTTTGTGTGTTAGCAAGTGACTGGTAGGTATAACTAGTTGAGGAAAATATTTTGATGAGATTAACATTGTTAGTGTGTTATTTTCCCTGAAATGAGGTGGTCCCTAAATGTGTTGGAGAAGTGTCAGCAAGAAGGAAGATGGATTCACCCATTATCTATTTCAGTTCTCTCTATGAAGTTTGAATGAATTCTCCTTTTAAACAGTCACTTACAAGAAGCATTTCTACTTGGGTTTTGCTAATTTGTTTTCTCTCAGAATTGGATCATGGAACTAGAAGGCAGAGTCCACAGGGCAGCAGCGGAGAGAGGTGCAGTTGAGCTCAAAAAGAATGAATTCCAAGGAGAACTAGAGAAGCAACGACAGCAGATTGATAAAATCCAATCCTTGCACAGTTTTCAGATGGAAAATGCCAACAGACTACATCGGGAAGAGAAGGTAGGACCTCTTCTAGCTACAATTTACCCTGAGACTGCAGTTTACCACAACATTCTCTGCAGTAGAATAAGGTTGCTTAAATGTTCCAGCTAATGGGTTTGCAGTGGATTTTTGTGTAGTGAAATGTATAATATATGTATTATTGTATAATATTTAGTAAATGGAAACTTAATGCATATTGTAGCCCTCAGAGTGGTAAAAGACTTGTTTAGTGGTCTGTAATGGAGAAAAATTTTAATTGAAAAATGGGGGTTGAGGGAAAGAAATGAAAGCATATAGAATAAGCCAAAATCTAGATTTTTATGATTCCACTTCATCAGCTTTTAAATATGAAATATTAAAAGCTGCAAGTGACAGCACTTCTGAAAAATACTTCTACCCCTGCTGTAAATCATTGGTAAAGATACCTTGGGTTGGCCTCTGGCTTTCTTTCCTGTCTGCTAATGGTTTAAAAGTTAAGGAAAAGAAGAAGCTGCACCAACAGGTGTATCTGTATTCCCTTAAGCAGGCATAAATGATTTTCTGTTTCTAAATATATTGCAAATTGTGTGGCACCTTTTAGCCTTCTGCTCCCAAAACCTAGTAGTGTTTTGGAGACATCCAAGTGGTAAGTGGTTCACCATTAGATGATTGATGGCTTGCTGCTCAAAACCTGTGGTGTACAATGCATCTTCTGTGTTAAAACTCTTGTAAATGAAACATCACCAGATGAATATTTGGAAATCTTGGAGAAGGAAAAGCTCAATAAAAATCAAGGTGGAAGTGTTTGACTAATATGCACATTAGTGGCATATATCTTTATTTTAAAATCATTTTTATCTGAACTCTTCAAAGAAGTAGTAAACCAGTTCTTTTTACCTATTTTGGGACAGACATATTTCTTTGATAATTTCTCTCTCCTCTTTGAATTCAGTCTTTGGGTATGCTTAAAAAAAAAAGAGGTGTTTCATACCTCTCGCCCAGAGAGGTAGTGGAGTCTCCTTCCCTGGAGATATTCAAAACCCGTCTGGATGTGATCCTGGGCAATATGCTCTAGAGGTCCCTGCTTGAGCAGGGAGGTTGGACTAGATGATCTCCAGAGGTCCCTTCCAACCTAAACCATTCTGTGATTCTGTAATAGTTACAGCAGTATTCACAAAGAGTAACTGTAGTCTAGGAAGGCTAATCTCCCTACACTTCCTTTACAGTTGATAGGCAGAGATAAGCGTATTTAGAGTTTCCGGACACTTAAATTTCAGTTCCTGTTTTGAATCAAACCTCTGCTTTCCAAACTGTATCAGGAGCCTCCACAGACTACCCTTTCCTAAGTTTTTTTTAGGTTCCCCCCCCCCCCCAAGGAAAATGAATTTTATGGTTCCTTCTCAGTAGTAGATTTTCCTGTACTATACTTCCTTCTTCTCTATAGGACAATTATTGTATATCACCCGAGGTGTTGGTAGAAGTTATGGAGCACATTAGCAAAATGGACAAATGCCAGGAGCTGGTCATAAGAACTTGCCCAAGAGTTCTAAAGAAATTGCATGGAGGAAAAGGTGTTTCAGCCAAGTGTGGTGTGTAATCTTTTTGCTTCAGACTACTGTGGTATCAGCCAAATAAAAGGTGGCTTGTGCCAATGGTGTGTGTGTGTGTGTGGTTTGTTTTGTTCTGTTTTGAGGGTTTTTTTGAGTCCTAGAGGACGTGGGAGCTGTCATCCAGTAAACCTGACACCAGGAAAATGTGATAAGCTGGGGAAGAGTCAAAGCAGCTTCTGTAAAAGGAAGACTCTTGGGGCCAGACTCTTCTCCGTGGTGCCCAGTGACAGGACAAGAGGCAACGGGCACAAACTGAACCACAGGCAGTCCCATCTGAACATGAGGGAAAACTTCTTCACTGTGAGGGTGCCTGAGCCCTGGAACAGGCTGCCCAGAGAGGTTGTGGAGTCTCCTTCCCTGGAGATATTCAAAACCCGCCTGGACGCGATCCTGGGCAATATGCTCTAGAGGACCCTGCTTGAGCAGGGGGGTTGGACTAGATGATCTCCAGAGGTCCCTTCCAACCTCAACCATTCTGTGATTCTGTGAAATCCTGTTCTTGAAGTCTGAGGGAGTTTCCTTTTGAAAGAGTCAGTGAAGAGGATAAGAGAGACTAATGAATGTACTCACACTTGGAATTGTAAAAGGTCACGCACAAAAGGTTCTTAGGGAAATTATATAACTGTATGACAAAAGTCAGTGTTATCACAGGCAGAAATAAGCAGGCAAAAGTTATGAAACAGCTTAGAAATAAAGTGGGTTAGTTTTTGTACTGTAGAGAGGATGCCAGTGAAGTTTTGGAGAGATGGAAAAGGCACACAGAGAAGGATAACCAAAGCAATGGAGTAGTGTCTGTGCAGGAATCTACTACATAGGTTGCCGGCCATTGGCCTGGACAAGAGACAGCTGCAAGAGAGCTGTGGCAGAAATGCCTACAATCCTGAATGGCTTGGAGAGAGGAGGAGACAAGGAGAGAGGAAGGGACAAGGTGTTGGAAGAGACAAGCAGTTCTCCGTTTGCTAGCAGACATCAAATGAAAGAAATCAGCAAGTAGTAGTTCAGAACAAACAAAAGAAATGCTCTTCATGCAATGTGTAGTAAAGCTGTAGACTTGTAACATCCATAATATCTGGTTGCAGCAGGTCTGTGCAGGTTAGAAAGCAATTGGATAAACTCAGACAAACACCTGCTGCCCTTGCGGCCCCCCCCCAAACATGAAGATGTGCTTTCTGGCTGCAGAAGTTCCTGAGGCAGAAGTAGCTGGTGTTAGGAGAATATGATTGTGAATTACTGCTTTATGGCTGCTTTGGTGTTCATTTGGCTTCCAGCATAGGAGACAGGATGCTAGGCAAGGTGGATTTTGGGGCTGATCTGGTACAGCTGTTGCTACCTCTCAAGTGCTTTGTCTTCCCTCCTCCTAAAATGCAGGTGTTCAGTAATGGTATAATCTATGAAGTTTGCTCTTGAAACCCCAGGGGCTGATACTGTAGGAAACGTTAGATGAACAGTGATGCAATGTGCTTCCTTATTTCTTGTCATCTGCTTTTTGTGGTTGGAAAAGAGCACGTCTTAGGAGACTGAAGTGGTAGGAGGAACATGTCTGTGTCTGTGCACTACTTCATGGCAAATTTAAAATTCACTCTTCTGGCTACAGGTCAGCAAATACCCCACGTAGATGTTGTTTGTTTTCCAACTCTGCAATTTGAGAGTAGGGAGAGTTGTTTTTATGGAGACCAGTGTATTTTAGAGACCTTCTCAAAAGATGCCATTGACCAAGTTGGCCTAGATTCATTCACTCCAGAATAGGAAT